ATAGTATGTTCAGGGAAGTCTCAATAACTCACACATTTAAACTTTTCCTTGGAGATGCTAGAATTTTTGGACCCAAATACCATTTACTTTTCTCCAAAGTTTAGATGTTTTAAAATCTAAGTCAGATTCATCTCGAGCATCCATTATGTCACCTAGCGTTTGTTCTGTTTCTGCCTCCTGCTCCAGCCACTCATTCTTTCCTATGGTTTGCAGGTTGAGCGGCTCCGGGGGTGGAGGGTGCTTTGAAGGAGAGTTAAGCACGTTCAATCCTTCCCAGTACTAGGAACACTGTGACTCCTAGTGGGTTAAGGAACAGGGCTGGAAAGACATAGTAGTTTAGATAAGTCCTGACAAGTTTCACTTGCGTTCTCTGCTACCTCTTACTGTCTTGGTATTTCAAAACTTTGTTGCTTTTGCTATCATTTTCTGGCTTTGCCTGAGGCTTCTGAGTGTGTGTGTGTGTGTGTGTGTGTGTGCATGTATGAGTCTGTGAGTGTGTGTGCATTGTGTGAGTGAGTGTGTGTGCGCATGTGTGTCTGTTAGTGTGTGTGCACATGTGAGTCTGGAGTGTGTGTGCGTGCATGTGAGTGTGTGTGCATGTTTGATTCTGTGAGTGTGTGTGAGCATATATGTGTATTCGTGTGTGTGCATGTGGTGTGTAAATGTCTTGGGGATGCCTCTGGTCTCTGCTCCCCTGGAAATGAGAGTACAGCATTCATCATCATGATTGGCACTTTCCATGCAGGCTCTAGGAAATCGGACTCAGTTCTGCTTACAAGGCAAGCGCATTACCCACTATGCCATCTCCCCAGCTCTGGGGCCTTCTTACTAAAGGATCTCGGGGTTGCGGTAGCATCACCTACCATTTCTTCAACACTGAGTGGCTAGTGAGGAGCACACATTACTGGATGCTCTTGAAGCTGTAGGGCTACACTGCATACTCCTCTGCCCCAGGACATACATCAAGTATAGCTTCTGACACAACTTATTGTGATTTCCCCACTCACATCTTCCAGTGCGTGAGCTCTAGAAGGCGCAGCAATGTCTCTAGCAGAAGCTGACCCTCCAGATACTCACTCCACCAACTGCCTTGAATCTTTACTATGGTTCATGCAAAAACAAGCTCTTGTCTCTTAGGTTCAGAATTTCTTACATAGTGTATAGTCTTTCTCTCTCTCTCTCTCTCTCTCTCTCTCTCTCTCTCTCTCTCGTGTGTGTGTGTGTGTGTGTATAGGGTTCTCCATATGTCAGGGTTCTAAGGATCTAGTACACACCTCTTTGTGTTTATTCAATGAAAAGTGTATCATGGAATGCGAGCACACATCCTTTAGACTAAAGTGACTGTGGTTGACTTTAAAGTTGTCACCCGCACACCCTCAACAGCCCCCAGTCGTCTTCTCTGGGCTTGTGAGGACGCTGTTCTCAAGCTCAGGGAAGACAATGCTAGGTCCCTCCACCTTCCCAGTCAAGTGCTCCTGTAGCATTGACACCTGTGAATTATGACCACAATGGCATTCTCCTTGCTCTCTGAGCCCTTCACCTCATAGTCAGAACTTTGTGTCTGGAATCACGGGTACCCTGTGGTGCAACCCTCACAATAATGTGTTCCCAAGTCTCACCTGCTGGAGCTTGAGCATGTGACCTTCACGGAACCTACTCATCCCACGTCCTGTCCCAGCACCTAGCCCACAGAGTGATTATTCAGTCAGTTAGGCTAAGGAGCTTCCAATAGCACGCTCAAGGCAAACATATATGTAAAGTCTTTCTTGAGATAGTTTGTAGCTCAGGCTGGCCTGGAACTCACTATGTAGTTCAGGCTGGCCTGGAACTCACTGTGTAGCTCAGGTTGGCCTAGAAGTCCGTAAAACCCTCATGTCTCAGTTTGTGGAGTGTTACAATCATAGACATAAGCCACCTTGTCCAACTTTATCTTTTGAAATGAGACTCATTTAGTAGCTGGTTTCTCATTATTAAAAAGTAGTTTTTAATTAAAGTTTATCTTCTAGATATTTTACCCATGCTGTATGGTATCAAGGCTACTTTCTTTTTCTTTTAACTTTATTTTCATGTGTATAGGTGTTTTACCTGCATATGTGTGCAGTAGCTGCAGAGGCTAGAGGAGGACATTGGATCCCCTAAGGCTGAAAACAGACAGCCGTTAGCCACCCTATGGATGCTGGGAATTGAACCCAGGCCCTCTGGAAGAGCAGTCAGTGCTGTTAACCACTGAGCCATCCCTCCAGTTTCAGCAAGGCTCTTTTCTCAGCTTTCCAGTCCTAAGGCACGCAGTGGTGCATGCTCGGTTTCTGCTGCATTCTAAGCGCTTTCGTTACTCAATTGCCATCAGTCTGGTTCTGGTTTATTCAGGCACTGACCATATCTTATAAGTTACACATTAGATTGTCCCAGTCCCTGGAGGCTCATCCACTGTGTATCTCAGGACACAGAGGGAAGCTCCAGTTCAGAACCTCCAGACTCAAGCAACCCAGCACTCTGAAGTACCACAGTCATCTAGGTTTAAGTCCCACTGCTCTGGTTTATGGCTAGTATGTCTGGGGATGTGGCTGTGTTTTCATTTCCCCTTTCTTAGGAAATAGGACCTGGAGTGAGTCTGGTCTGCGGGGTAGCCTTAGGAGTGCTTTCTCAGCCTTCTTCCTGAGAGGGAAGGGCTTTGGGGTACATATCTGCAAGAGAGGAGAATCTGCTGCCGGCTCAGGGTAACACACACACACACACACACACACACACACACACACACAGTCCCAGAGTGTGTGAGTGGCATTTGGCAACAGCTGTAGACACAGGTGAGATAGCCCGGGAGCTGCCTACTGTTAGACCCTCCAGTCTTTACGGAGCAGCATGGACCTTCTTCAGTAGGAACTATTTTCTCCATGTCTTTCTCTGTCCTGGCTGGTTTTCTGTCAACTTGACACAAGCTAGAGTCATCAGAGAGGAAGGAGACTCAGTTGAGGACGTACCTCCATTAGACCGAGCTGCAGGAAATTTTCTCCTTAGTGATCTGTGGGGACGGGCCCAGATCTTTGTGGGTAGTGCCATCCCTAGACTGGTGAACCTGGAAAAAGAAAGCAGCTGAGCAAGCCAGGAAAACAAGCCAGTAAGCAGCACCCCTCCATGGCCCCTGCACCAACTCCTGTCTCCAGGTTCCTGCCCTGTTTGAGTTCCTGTCCTGACTTCCTTCAGTGGTTAAGGGCAATGTGGAAGGATAAGCTGAATAAACCCTTTCTTCCCCAGCTCACGTCATGGTCATGGAGTTTCTTCACAGCAGCAGAGACCCCAGCTACCTCCCTCTCCCTCTCATCTTCTCTCCCTTCACTTTTCTTTTAACCTTCCCCCCTTTCCCCCTCTCCCCCCTCTCCCTCCCTCCCTTCCTTTCTCTATCCCTCCCTTCCTATCTTCCTTCTTCTTCCTTCATTTCTTATCTCCTTTTAAAATTTCTGGTAGGACGGTTCTAGCTAACCTAGTGTACCAATCTTAGAAATGACATCATAGTCAGGTGGTGGTGGCACATGCCTTTAATCCCAGCACTCGGGAGGCAGAGGCAGGCAGATTTCTATGAATTTGAGACCAGCTTGGTCTGCAAGAGCTAGTTCTAGGACAAGCTCCAAAGCTACAGAGAAACCCTGTCTTGAAAAACGAAAACAACAACAACAAAAAAAAAATCAATTTAGAAACAGAAAACCAGGGTGAGCAAGATGGCTCCGTAGGTAAAGGTAATTGCTGTGGGAGCTGGAGACCGGAGTTCAGCCCCACACAGAGGTGGAAGGAGAGAACTGGCTCGGTGCAGTTGTCTTCTGAGTGCTCACGCCCACCGTGAAGTTCATACCCACCCTATCATGTCTTTCAGCTTCTTTTAAAGTTTTAGTCCAGGTAGACAGCCCAGATCATAGTTGTATAGGGTATTATTTAAATAGGAAGGCCAAGCTCACAGCACAGCCCACCTGTTTACTCTATGACCTCTGATCTGTGTCAACTCTGTCCCAACAGGAGAACTATATCACAACAGTTCAGTCATGATTATGCTGATGACATTCTACTGCTAAATATACCTTTTGCATTGTTCTATTATGCTATATATAAAATTTAGATTAATTTTCTATTGTACATGTTCTATACTACATTATCTCTTAGTAAAATTCATGTTTTTAGTGTTAATAATTTCTATGTGCCCAGCATATTTTGTACTCCTCACCTTGAAGACTTAGCTACGAAACATGTGTCTCATCAGCTATGGTCATGGTTCCACGGCCACCTCTCATTGGTTGTCTCTGGCCTTGATGATCACATGTCCAGCCATCAGTTTGGAGTTGACGAGCCAAGTTGACAAGAATATAGCTGGGCGAAAGCAGAGAGCTGCTATCCTACCTCTCTCAAGCGGTTTATATTCTGGCATTAAATATTTATTCTTAGACAATTTTGTTCATGTATATAATGTATTACTATCATACCCATTCCTCGCCACTCTCTCTTCTGGAATCTTGTAATCATTGGTATTTATCCATAAATGGGGGACATAATTCTTCTCAGAGTTATAGGACGAAGATTTTCTAAATCCTTAACGATTTAATTCTGTCGATTTATATAAAATGCCAGTCATTTCAAACCCAAAGTGTCATGATTGATTTCCCTTTTGTTGTTTTTGGAATAGCACACTCTCACACACAGAAACTTACATTTTCACACTCTTCTCCCAACCCGTCCACCCACACTCTTTACAACAGGAGATACTGTACAGTAAGACGCAGGAAATGCCAGGCAAAGCTTTTGATTCTGACAACAGGCATTTTGAGTGAGATGGGTTGTTACCTACAAAGGCAGGTTACAAAGGAGTGGAGGCCCCTTTGGATTTCCCGAGACAAGAGGTCACCGGTCTGAGAGTTCTGTGTCTGGGAACAGGTGACATCTGTGACCAGGAAGTGTAGGCCAGGAGACTGGGAGAAACAGGCTGTTCCTGGGTGTTTAAAAACTGTCTTCTGTGGCAGAAGCGCGATGGCATCTCTTGATTCTGAGGTGAAGGAAGAGCGTCTGAGGGAGGACCTGAAGTTCTACTTCATGAGCCCCTGTGAGAAATACAGAGCCAGACGTCAGATCCCATGGAAGCTGGGCTTGCAGATTCTGAAGATAGTCATGGTAACCACACAGGTAACTCACACAATGACTCCTCCCTTCCCCAAGATCCAACCATCTCCACCTGTTCTGTCCTTGCTTGTTTATCTGCAAGACTCACGCTGAAGTTCATGAGACTGAAATTAAGTCTCCTCGGCGGGCAGAAGGCAGAGAGCAGGCCGAAGTTCAGTTCAAAAGACCTGGTTTCAGTAAGAGTTCATGAGGCCACATCTCCACCGGAGCTGTAAAAAACAGATAAAAGAAGATCCATGTAGAGGGGGTTTCTTAATCTTCTCACCCCAATCCATGCGAGGTCCACAGGCTGCCAAGGAGTTCTCAAGAATCCATCTTACAGTATTTAATATGTTTTTGAAAGTCTTCAGACATAGAAAATGCTGTTTCCTTAATCAGAAGCGTTGTGCCCCCGTGTAAGTGCTAACTACAGGCACTATCAAGAATGTCTGAGCGTTGCATTGGACCTTGATCTAAGGTCATCCTGCAGATCGGTTATCACCAGAACTGGAACGGCCGTCAGCGCTGTCATCCAGCTGTTGAGCTGTGGCTTTGACCTCATCTGTGGGTGACTTCTCCTGAGGTGACTACAGTTGAACATACATGTCTGAAAAAAAAAAACAGTACTGATTTGGAGTCTTTAGCTCTAATATACGTAATCTATTGGGACCATCAATCCAAAAGGATGATTTTTCTGAAATACAACATTAAAAATGTAAGGAATGCTTCCATGTGGAAATGAGAGGGCCTCGGCTGTGGTTACAGCTGCAACTTGACTCTGAGTTTGTTCAGGAGTCTTCAGGTTGGATGATTTCTGTCCCAGTTCATTCAGAAAAGCAAGTCACACAGGCTCTGAGGCTAGGAACACTGCCATCCGGAGACCTGAGCTCAGTTCCCAGCACACACCGTGGCTCATACTGATAACTCCAGACCTAGAGTATCTGATGCCATCTTCTGGATTCTGTAGACATGAGGTATACATGTGGTGTACAGGCAAAACATTCAAATGCATTAATATAATAAAACAACATAAAAGTAATTAAAAGAGAGAAAGGCAAGCAGTCGCTTCAGAAGACGTAAGACCCTGCACGCCCAGGATGCAGGGGTGTGGTTAATAGCATGCATCGCTTGCCCATTTCCACTCTTGGTTTTCAAGTTTAGTTTTGGTGACCTATAAATTAGAGTCTTCTTCATTGTTTCTTAAAAGGCAAAGATTATTAGTTGATTATTTACCAGTTTTCTATCTTGCTTAAACTTTGATGTTTTAATCTAGTACTGTTGTTAAAATTGTAACTGCCGTAGGCATAAAAAAATCATTGCCATCTTAACTTAGTTTTTTTTGGTCTGGTTACTATTGAATCACATTAACATTCCTCTTCAAAATGTTACCTGCTTATGCTTTTCCCCTTCTCAGCATTCCCCCAGCGTAGTTTCTTATCTCTGATTTAGATTTGTTTTAATTTTTATTTACACGTTTGTGAGTATACACATATGAGTGCAATACCTGGATAGACCAGAGAGGGCGTCAGATCTCCCAGAGTGGGAATTAAACCTGGTTGTGAGCTGCCCAGTGTGGGTGCTGTGAACCAAACTCTGGTCCTCTGCCAAAGCAGCCAGTGCTTTTAGCCACTGAGCCATCTTTCCATCCACACTTATCTCCGATTTCAAACACAGAAGAACATCTCATTTGCAGGGCACTGAGTTGAGGCACACTGTAGTTACCTATTCTGCTGCTGCTAACTCACAGGTTAATGGTTGCCACGGCAACCGCAAGGAGGGTCTTAGGCATGGTTACTCAGTTTATCCTTTCTGCAACCCTGTGAATTGAGCTCGGTTAGAATCCCCTTTTCATGGACGAAGAAACTGGGACAAAAGGGTTAAATAATTTGGTGTCATGCAGAGCTGGGGTTTGAGCCCAGCCAGTCTCCAAAACCATCTTGTTCTCTTTTGGTACCTTGTGCTGGATACAGGCTTTGTCTTCTAGGTTTGAAGGTAGGAAGACAGGCCAGTGGGCCAGACTGCTTCAAAGTTCATCTTGAACAAGTCCATGTCTCTTCAAATGCTGTTATCATCTTACTTTTATTTTGTTATTTTATATGTTTGAGTGATTCGTCTGGATGCCACATGTGTGCAGTGCCTCCGGGGTCTAGGAGAAGGTGTCAGATTCCCTGGGACTGGAGTTGCAGAAGTTGATTGCTACCATGTGGTTGCTTGTGGGATGAACCTGAGCCTGGGTCCTCTGGAAGAGCAGCCAGTGCTCGTAACTCTAACTGCAGTCCAATCCTACTGCTCTTTCTTAGGAAAGTGTTCACTTCATTCCCCTCCTGCTCAGGAATTCTACTGTGGGTGAGTGCACACGGACATCAGAGGTCATCTTGAGTGTCATTCCTCGGGGGTCCTGAGACAGGGTCTCTTCTAGGCCTGGAGCTTCAGCAGGATTGTTAGGGTAGCAGGATTGTTAGGGTAGCCATCAAGCTAGGGGAATTCCCTCGTTTCTCCCATTTTGCTATCACAGGGATTCCACACACACATCCTCCTATGCCCAGCATTTTACACAGGTTCTGGGGATTGAACCAAGACCATCAGACTCACGAGGCAAGCAATTCACAAACCACTGCTCAGGAAGTTCTGAAGAGTGCTTCTTTTCCCAGAAGACAACTATGAGTTTATAGTCCAGAATTCATGGATTCCCAGCATCTTCCTCACCCTCTGTCCAGGGAGGTTTCATCTACTGCCTCCTGTCCAGACGCTAGCCAGGCCAACCTGATGTTTCTCAGTTACGTTTGTACCTCTCTGCCCAGAGTGGTTCTTCCTCTTCACTCTGCAGGTGTGATTTGAAGACTCGCTCCCCCATTGTGTAATGTCCCTCACTCTGCTTTGCTATCTTCATCACTTAATTTAACTTTTAATAATAAACAGATTCTGGGAACTGGTAATTTGCTCTTTGTGTGGATTTCTGTTTCTCTACTAATATAATCCTATAAGTTACAACCTACTCCTGCCTCAGTCCTATTCCTGTGTGGCCTCATTCTATCTATCTATCTATCTATCTATCTATCTATCTATCTATCTATCTATCTACCTATCTATCTATCTAGTTGTGGATGGCTTGGTCACTTCTCCTTACATCATCCCACCTTTCCTGCTTCCTCATTCCCTGTCTCTTCCTAATCCAGTAAGTCTGAAGAGCACAGAGACTCAGGTTTTCAGAGTAGGAAACATTTTAGAAAGAAAAAAAGAAGCTAGCTCTGTGTTCGGCGATGACTTATGATCTCAGGGGAGGTGTCTGTCTTCTTTCCTGAGTTCCAGTCTTTCTATCCTGTACAACAGTTAGAGTGCCATCTTGCTTTTACTGGGCATAGTATGCTTTCTCCTACGCTGATTTTATAATGAGGACTTTTATTCCAGCTTTGCCAGACATTGAATGAGTATTTCAGTGTGTGTGTCTGTGTGTGTGTGTGTATGTGTGTGTGTGTGTGTGTGTATGTGTGTGTGCTATATCTTATTCATGGCAAATGTTGGCATTTAGTTAGAGAATTGGGAAAAATACCTGTTCTTCCTCCCAGATAGAAGTGGCCCCAGGCAAGCATCACAGGGTCACAGTCTCTTCATCTCAGAACCATGTTGATGGCTTTAAGTTTAAATAAGGCCGTGGCTGTCAATAACAACAAATCATGTGCCCCATTTGCGATCAGTTTGTCAGTTCCTTCCTCAGACACTTTGTGTGCCTTCGACTTCACTACGAGGGTGGGAAGGGAGGGTCTCACAGCCCCGTGTCTAGAGTCAGGTGGCAGCCTTTGCTGTAAGTGCGTGGCAAAGTGACTGAGAGGATAAGCAGGTCCTAGTATCAGGAAGAACAGCATTCAGACCCTTAGACACTTTCCAGATGTCGTGCCTGACTATATGGCCGGACATCAGGTGATAGATGTGTGCAATGGTGCTACATTCATCAGGTGACTCTGTTTGATGGTGACAGGTGGGTCACCGTCCAACTGTTACCCATTCCCCTTCTGACTCAATAGTGCTATGTAAACAAACAAACAAACAAAGCCTCCTCCTCATGGAGTCTAGTTTAATTGGTGAATTACATGAAGTCATTATACATTTTTTTTTTTAAATCACAATGCTTGGTACTCTGTGATGAGTCATTACTCAGCACCTTGGACAACCTCTCTCTCGCTCCACTCCAGCTTGGGGAAGAACCATTCTATACATGATGATTAAAGAGTTTTATCCAAGGGGCTACTGCTCAGGCTGTCCGGAGATAGCTGGCCTCTTTCAAATCTTCAAACACTCCTGTGTGTTGCTTCCCTAGTTTATAGTTTTAGCTTTTAGAAAACAACCCAACCCTTGCTGACATCCCTTGCAAGGGATGTCAGTATTGAAAATCATCATTTAGCTGGAGAATTTGGCTTTTAGGTTGCTTGATTTTCAGAACAGGTTGGAATAGGCTTGGGGTATCTTCTCTGATGGTTTTCTTAGAATAGCTGTGTTTCTGATGATTGTTTAATCATTGGTATTTGAGGAATTTGGTGTGATGACATTAAGTTATTAAAGCGTATCATCTGTAGACATGCTCAAGCAATGGTTGCTTCTATAATTCTGAAAAGTCTAGCACTAAATCCGCTCCTATGAGAAGTGTCCCAGAGACCTTTTAAAGTTTTCAGTGGAAAGGCTTTGTTTATGCAGTGTAATAAAGAGCTTTGGAGCCAAGCTCGACTTCCATTCTAGCTATGAGGCTGGGGGCCATTTCATGAAGGCTAATGCGGTTAACATCAGTGTAAAGTGTGGGCTGAGGCAGTAGCATGGTGATAACAAGGGCTGGTTGTAGTGGTGGACGGGGTACTGTAAATGCACCTGTCAGTGATGGAGGGGGGCTATGGCAGTTGATGAAAACACGGGGACTCTTGCTGTTAACTATCCAGTCTTTAAAAATCAACGCACATTCTCATATTCAGCACTGACTGGATTCACCAAGACATACTAAAAACCCAACCAGACAAAATACAAAAGTTAAAACTGTAAGCCACTGGGAAGTCCTTATGCCGATTTTGTCAGTCTCATGATTTATACATCGTTGTGTGTATATAACATGCTGAGGAACACCAGATATGACAGTTGGGGTCACCCAGTCCACTTTCCTGATTTCACACACGAGACACAGCTCAAGGTTCCATGATGATTCAGTGGAATCGTCACTGCGAGGAAACATTGCAGTCTTGGTTTGTAAGACTGCTTGGGGAAGTGGGGAAGGTGTGTGAGAGAGAAGCTTGCTGAGGTTTCCTTTACCACAGCCGCCTGTGTGTCAATGTGTTTGTGTGTGGAGCCTTGATTGAGAGCACGCTATGTGGGACAGAGTACAGGGGAAAAGACGTGCACTGCAGGCATGCATGTGTACACGTGTGTGTGTGTGTGTGTATGCACGAGAGGGGGATCAAGCCTGTGTGATGTGTGTATGTGTATGCATGGGGGGGGGTCAAGCCTCTGTGTGTGTGTAGTTTTGAATGAGAGTGTGCTCTATGTGACAGAGTGCAGGGGTGAAGGTGTGCACTGCAGGCATGTGCACGTGTTTGTGTGTGTGTGCGTGTGTGTATGCATGAGAGGGGGATCAAGCCTGTGATATATGTGTAATATGTCTGTGTGTGTGTGTGTGTGTGTAGTTTTGAATGAGAGCGTGCTCTATGTGACAGAGTGCAGGGATGAAGGTGTGCACTGCAGGCATGTGCACGTGTTTGTGTGTGTGTGCGTGTGTGTATGCATGAGAGGGGGATCAAGCCTGTGATATATGTGTAATATGTCTGTGTGTGTGTGTGTGTGTGTGTAGTTTTGAATGAGAGCGTGCTCTATGTGACAGAGTGCAGGGATGAAGGCTTGCTCTGCAGGCATGTGCACATATGCACAATGTGTGTGAAGAGGGATCATGCCTGTGTGGTAGCGTGTGCATGGGCATAACATGTGCAGCTTCCTGGCTTCTTATGAACCTGTGGCGATAGCTGTTTTTCCTATTGATGGAGTCTAAGGGGAAAGCTGTAGCTCTTGATGAAGAGAGTCTTTGAGTATTTGACTTTATGTCAGCAAATAGATGATTTGGGGAGGGGGATGTTGAGGCAGGGTCTCATTATATAACCTAACTGGCCTTGAACTCACGGCAATCCTTCTTCCTTTGCTCCCTGCATGTTGGTATTGCAGGAATGGTCACTATCCCCACCAGCAAGTGATTTTTAAGGGGGAAGACACCCTAGAGGACAGAAAATATCCAGGAGCAAAGTACTGGGTGTGGTGTCAACTGTCATTTCTTCTTCCCTGCTTGCTGAGACAGAGAAGCACGTGACAGTCCTGTCTGTCTGAGGCACTTCTGTCAGGCTAAGGAACCCCAGAGAAAGTCTCAGGACAGACAGGGTGGGAGAAACCTTAGGGCTGTTTCTTCAGCTCAAGGTCCTGGCATGTCCCAGCATCGTTCTCTGGGATGCTAAGTCCTGTTGATCCAATGCAATGGGCGATTCTCTTTCAGGCTTGTTTTTTTTTTTTTTTTTTTTTTTTTTTTTAACAGTGTTGCTCTTAATGTGTAAATCAAGGAATGGATATTTTTCCTCAGATGCTTAGCGATGAGAATTGATAAGAATTGATAACAATCAGCAGCAGCCATTTTCTTTCCCTGGTAAATGGCAAAAACCACATTCCTGTGTTTTCTTTTGCAGCTTGTTCGCTTTGGCTTAGGCAACCAGCTGGTGGTGGCTTTCAAAGAAGATAACACTCTTGCTTTTAAGCATCTGTTCTTGAAAGGATTTTCCGGAGTTGATGAAGATGATTATAGCTGCAGCGTATACACTCAAGAGGATGCCTATGAGAGCATCTTCTTTGCTATGAAGCAGGCGAGTGTTCTAAATGTCCTACTTTTAAACACTACAGTGTGTCTTGTCAAGCTCTGGCAACTGCCTGGAGGCCAGTAGGGCTCACAGGGTAGAGCCTAGGAACCTCAGTGTGAGACACAGTCTGAGAGACGAGTAAGATCTTGGTTTCGGCTGGGAGGAGGTTGCGAGTATCCCTCAGGGTGTTGCTTTGGTGTGGCGTTCGATGAGGCAGTGTGTCCCTGTTCAACTGAAGAAAATAACCGTATGCAGTGTTGAACTGGACAGGGGTCCCCCCAAAGGCATTGTATAAGCAATAGAAGTAGCTACAGTTGTATTCCATATGGTAGGACTTGTGGTTTTTAAGAACTCATGTGTTTATTTAACTGTGTTTTTATAAAAACAGTATCGTCATCTAAAGAACATTTCCCTGGCAACTCTTGGTTATGGAGAGAATGAAGACAACGGAACTGGCTTGAAATTCTGTAAGCAGCACTACAAGACAGGCGCCATGATTTCTCCTAACGAGACCCTGAATATTGACAGTGACATTGAGACAGGTAACAGCAGTGACCGTCTTGTCATGTGACTTTGTCATTTTCTGTGATGAGCAAAATGGCTTCTGTGTGCTGGCAACTCAGTGGAACTCAGAGGAGCAGGCTCTCTCTGGCCCGGGCTGTCGGTTTCCACAGTTGCCGCCCAAGGCTTTGGCTCAGGAAACCACACGTTCCTGGTGATGGGAAGGGAGCGCTGTTTTGGTCTGTCTCTTCGAACATCTTAAAATTCTGCAGTATGTGCTCTTAACCATGTATCCTCTGCCTCCACTTCCCAAGGGCTGGAACCAAGGGTTTGCACTGCTATACCGCTCTATCGTTTATAAAATATGCAGTGGTCTTCAAAGGCGACTTGAGGTTGGTGATTATCATTCCTTCCCTTAGGAGACTGCTTGACAAAAAACGTCCCAGCTCACCATGCAGTCACTTGGAGCTGCTCTGTTAAGAATGTAGGTGAGCACACAGTGTGTGCTTTAAGAATGTAGAAGAGTAGGTGAGCACACAGTGTGTGCTTTAAGAATGTAGAATTGGTGGTACTTGCCACCCATGCTTTTCTGATTACTATGTTCCAAAGAAAAGAACATCTTCTCTTTCCTCACAACTGGTCGAGGTTATGCATCTGGGGAAGGAATGTCACACGGGTGTTGGGTCCTTCCCAGGGTATTGTAGCAGAGGGCATCTGAAGCCTGCTTCTTCCTGAGACTGCCAATGTTATCACGGTCCCTGGCTAAAAGTGGCCCCTGCCAGCTTCTCCACTGAAGGGTTACTGTGCTCCATGTTGTAATGGTTTGATATTTTCTGGCAGATGTTTTGAGATGTTCAGAGGGTCCCTCTTCTCCTAACAAGGCTGCCGTATGCACCTAAGCATCACGTTCTTGCCGGAAGTGACCATTCCCGGTCTGTCTTTGCTCTAGACTGCATTCACCTAGATCTCCAAGTGCTGGACAAGGAACCTGAGGGCTGGACACAGACTGCTTTCTTCAGGCTGGATTTTTACCGGTAAACACAACATGAGGTCTCAGTCCCCAGGAGAGGAGGCCAGGGGTGGACATTAGCATCGTTACACTGACGGATATGCTTCTTACTTATTCAGGCTGGTGCAAGTTGATATCTCCTTTGCCCTCAGAGGAATTGACCTACAGGCAATTCACTCCCGAGAGGTACCAGACTGCTACAGCTTTCGGAACACGGCAAGTGTCTTTTGTCTTACGGTGACCTCCGTCTGGTTTGTTCCCTATGGCTTCTGTAGAAGAAGATAAACCTGAAGTCTGCTGCACTGGTCTCATCTAGAGACTGTTTCATGTAAAGATGGAGCCAGGCCTTTCCAACTCCCTAAAACCGTTTTCCTGGACTGGGAAGGTGACTCCCGTGAGGATGTGAGTTCAAATCCCTGGCACCTACAGAAACCCTTTACCCTGCAGTTCTTACCACTAAAAGAAAATTGTGAAGGAATTCTCCTAGTTGGCTTCAGCTGTCAGCTTGACACAGTCCATGGTGACCTGAGGGAGTGTCCACAAGAGGACCTCAGGGGAGAGTTTTTTCTTGACGGCTGATTGATGTAGGAAAGCCCCTCCCACTGTGGGCAGCACCGTCTCTGGGCAGGTGGTCCTGGGCTGTATAAGAAAGCAGGCTGAATGAAGGCTGTGAGCAGCTTTCCTCTGACGTGACTCAGTGATGGAGTGCGAATTGTTAGCTGAAATATCCTCGGGCTGCCTAAGGCCTTCACAGCGACAGCTGCTAGAGCAGAACCCATGCACTGGGGACATTTCCATTGCTATGATCTCTGTATCAGGGTTCCATCCTGGGGCTGCTGACTTTCCTGAGTGGTTGACCGGAAAGTTCCCACCTCCCGTTGGACTATAACCTCTCCATTTCTGCCTCTAGATTACCTTCGACAACACAGCCCACAGCGGAAAAATAAGGATCTATTTTAACAGCGAGGCCAACATAGAAGAATGTAAAGCCATGAATATATCTGGATCTAGTAAGTGTGTTATGCGACCTGCCCTTTGTGAGTTACAGGGTGGCTTGGGGCTCGTATGATTGTTGTGGATGGCGGTGGAAAGAAAGTCCCATAAAAACAAAGCTCAAACACTAGTCTCGAGACGTCTGTCCAAGTCAGCAAGTGTTTATTGCTTCTCTGGAAGACTTAGCATGAGTCAGTGGCTTGGGGGATCAGTCTCTGCAGCCAGATGGCCTGCGCTCACCATTCTGATTCTGTTCTCTGTGTCTGGGGGCTTAGACCTATGTCTTGGCCTCTCTGCCTTAGAATTCTCTACAAAGCAGCAGCAATGACTGTTTGCTGAGGGCATTGGCACTCAGTGCTGAGAGGGGAAATCATCAGAGTTGCTGGGCTCTAATGGAGGAGGAAAAGCCATAGTGAGGGAGGGGGACATGACCAGATCTCTAGTGTGTTGTGGTTAGGGACGAGTGCGGACATATGAGCGGTCTGAGGAAGGAGGTAAATGACAACTTTGACCAGGGCCAAGTGGGAATCATAAAATGATCTTTGGAGAAGGCATGTTTTGACACAAGCCTTGGACAGCAAAGAAGAGTCAAGACCCAGAGCGCAGAGAGCAGCCTGAATAAACATGGGGACAGATCCTCAGTCACTTCATGGTCCATGTGCCCAAAGTGGCCCTGATGAGCTAGGTGTGGTGTCACGTACCTGCAAACTCAGCACCGTGGAGGAAAAGGCGGGGAAATTTCAAGTTCAAGGCCAGCCAGGTTACACAGGGGTTCCTGTTCCAAAATATGTAGGGAGGAGGAAAGCCTAGGCTCTGTGGATCCCATTTGGGTTGTTCAGTGGTCAGGGTGATGTCTCTGAAAGGTCAGCATTGAGAGTCGGCAAACTTTTTAAAAATGAGTTCCCCTTTGACCAGACAACCAGAAACATGAAACACGAGACACATGGTCTCTACCCTAACAGTGGACCATTACTTCTCAGTTGTACAACGACTGATGATTTTGAAGTCTTCTCTTCCTTTTCTAGCCCTGGTTTCAGTTGTTCCTGAAGGAAACACACAGTTTCAGGTTTGGATAAAATGGTTTCCTCACCACAGACCACCACCAAGCGAAAGCTGCAGCTGTGTCCTGGGAAAAGAAGTCACCTTGGTCATATTTAAAATGTGGTTTTCAATAATCACCACGAGGATCAAAATGCTTCACAGTTTCCCAGGCATCCGCAGACCATGACTCCTTCTTGATAACTGGGGCTTCCCCCCTCCCCCCAACCTGTGCACAAAAGGGAGGAGCTCTAGCTCCCCCTGGTGGTCAATGTGGAGAAATGCAGGCCACACAGCTGAGTGGAAAAAACAGCTAAAATGTGCTATTCCTACAGCTATGTCTTAGGAAACTTGACCTCGTCACCAAGAAAAGACGCATTTAAGATAAAGTGAAGGGATTGGGAAATCATTAAAAAGCTGGGGTTTAGAAACCAGTTTGGGAGATGGTTTATGCCCTCTCTTTCATCTGAAGCTGTGTGGTGGGTTGAGAAGCCCTACCTGAGCGACAAGGGCAGAGGCGACATCTGGCGGGCTCTGGCTGCTATTTCCCAAGTGTTCTGCTGCTCCTTCCCGCTCACTCAGCATCTGGGCTGCTTGCTTCCCTTGTTATCAACCACGTTTACCCACATCTCCTCAAAGTTCAGGCAATGGCCCCTTTCACAGGCGGACCTCATCTGCTACCTGATAACCATTTCCCCTAAAAATGTGCTTCTCGTCTCCTCCAGTTTGAGTTTATAACGAGCCCCATGAGGCTTGGGAAGAAGTGGTGAGCGGGTCTCCAGGCCATGGGGGGAGTGATAGTACTTACTGCTGGGCGGGAGTTAATGCATTTGGATATCCCTGAGCCAGTGTCCCTCAGGCAGACAGAGGTAGGGTGTCTGTACACATCACAGGTTTGGGAGCATGGGATGAGTAGGGTGTGGGGTTCAGGCTTATTCTGAACCAGGGTTTTCCAAGGCCAGTTTCCAAGCTGCTTCCACAAGATATTTCGACAAAATAGTTTCAGTGGGGGTAAGAAATTAGTGGCTGCTGGATGCTGCCAACACTTGGGAGGCTGAGGCAGGAGAATTTCTACTAGTTCATATTCAACAACTGTATTTGTCTTAGCTACTTTTCTATTGCTGTGTGAACACCATGACCAAGGTGACTTGGTGACTTTCTAGAAGGTGACTTAGAGAAGGGAGAGTCGTTTGAGCCTGTGGCTCTGAGGGCTAAGAGTCTATCGTGGCAGGCAGACATGGAGTAGTCAGCTGAGAGCTCACAGCTCGACCCACAACCAGGAAGTACTGGGGAGGCAATGGGAGGGATGCTGAGAAATGCCAGCATCTCCAGAAGTCACAGCCACCTCAAACACATCCCAGCTACAGGCTCATAGCAGCTGTAGTGGCAGAGGCCCTCAGGGGGATTGCATGGGAACACGTCAGCAGGCAGACACTCACAGAGGAGAAACCTGCTGCTTCAGCTGGGTTCCCACTTAGGACCCCATCAAGCCCCAGATCATGGTCGAATTCATTGTCCCAAACCAGATCAACAGCTATGAATCTGGGAAGGGGACCAGGTGTTGATAGGGATGGAGGAAGCTAAGAGATGGGAGTGGGAGGTCAGAATACATTGCAACACAATCAATAAGAAGAAACATCTGAAACTTGACCCCTTCCCCAAATAAATCAGAGCAGGTGTGTGTCAGTGCTGTTCTGGCCAAGGGCAGGTGTGCCCGTTCTAGGCTTATGCTTGTGAAGGTCCCCAGGCGGGATAGAGAAGTCAGTATAGTTGCCATGTGGAAGAGGGGAGCAGCAGCTAGAATGTGCCACCGTGACGTCTGGGAGCAGCTAAGCTTACAGACTGCTCTCTCTGACAGCCTCTTGCCCTGTGCATTCCAAAGCAGACCCCAGATCACTACTGTCTTCCCACGAGTTGTTTTCTTGGTGTTGGAAAGCAGGCAAAGCCTTTCAGATCAGTGCCGTGGTGGGACGGTGCACGGTGGAGCTGATGAGCAGGGCTGCGGCTTCTCACTGTATAAAGCAAACTCGCTGTCTGTCTTTTCGCGGGAAGCAAATTAGGCCATCCCGGCACTTTAGCCACTCTTGAGTGGGGCCTAAATGGATCACTCTCCACAATTTGTGCAAGGTGTGCTTAACATTTGCATTCTGCCTTGTTCTGCAGTTCAGAGAAGCACTCAGTATGTCCTGGTGTTTGACGTGTTTGTCATTATGGTCTGCCTGGCATCCCTTATCCTGTGCACCAGATCCATTGTCCTTGCTCTGAGGCTGAGAAAGGTAAGCGTGGCTCTTCCCTTTCTCCCTCCACTCAGCCTGCAGCCTGCGTTTGTCCAAGTCTCTGCGGGGTCTGCTGGGTCTGCCTGGTATGCCTGGTCTGCAGGATCTGCCAGCACTGGGCTAGGCTGCCCTTTCTCGATTCATACAGGAAGAAGAGGCCCTGGGGATGAATGTGACAGGCCAGTTGGTGAAGGGCTTGTCATGCAAACCTCAGGATCTGAGACTGATTCCCAGCACACACATAACAAAGCCAGACAGGACTGTGTATGACTGTAATTCCAGCTCTGGGGTGGTGGAAACAGGAGGCTCCCGTGGCTCAATGGCCGGTCAGCCTGATGGGATCAGTGAGCTGCAGGTTCAGTGAGAGATATTATTTAAAAAAAATAATAAGGCAGAGAATGGATGAAGAAGACACCTGGCATTCACATACATACATGTGCATGTGAGCATATATACATGTGAACATAGATGCACATATACACACAGCAAAATTTTTTAAAAAAGGAAAAGGTTTAAATTATTTCAGGAGGTCCGATAATTATTCTGCTGGAAATCGAGCTAACAAGTACAGGTATTTGTGGTAAGCTCTCAAGCATTTAGAAGCTTCCAGAATAAAATTTTAATGTCAGGGATGCTCTTAAGAGCATGTGTGGGCTCCATCTTCTGTCTTCAGGTCAGAGTTCCCTGACAAGGAGGCACGGAGGATGGGTGGAGATGAAGCATGGGCTACTTGGATTTGATTCCCTAGGTAGTTTATTGTACCGTTTACCTGCTCCGGTGTGTATTCTCGGGAGTGTGCCCTTCAGCTCTCCGTGTTGTAGGTGCCCACTGGGGTCCGGGAAAGCCGAGAAACATTGGCATACCATCTTCAGAGCAGGAAATAGCCCACGTTCTATTTTCTTTGATCTCGACTGCCATGTTGGTTTTTAGATATTTTTTTTTTGAGATTTATCATTTTATGTGCATGAGGGTTTTGCACACATGTATGTCTGTGTGCTTTGTGTGTCCTGTGCCTGCAGAGGCCAGGAGAGGCATCAGATCCCCTGGAACTGGAGGGGCAGACAGTTGTGAGTTCCTGTGAGGGTACTGGGAACTCAAGCCAGGTCCTCTGGGGGAGCAGCCAGTGCCCGTAGGTGTTGAGACATCTCTCCAGCCTCTTGACTTGCACTCTGTAAATATCTGCTTCATGTCTGCTCTCCAACCCTCTAGATATCCTGACTCCAATGCTGACGTCCTTTCTGCCAAGTGCAGGTACAGCATTGGGGACACAGTGCTCACACCTGGACCCCAAGAGAATCTTAGTTTGAGGGTTTCCCATCCACCGGCTTGAAGGAGGGCATGCTATGCAGTGTTGGGAACACACTAGGTTAGCACTGTTGGGCTAACTTAGTGCTTGGGTTAGTTTATCAGGTGTTTAAATGCTTGCTTACACTGGAGTAGACAATGTGACTTAGCGCGCGGCGTTGTGTCTCCCCGTGAGGTAGATCTGCCATCTTGGAACTGTTTGTTCTTGCCTTCTGCCTCCAGAGGGCAGTGTGATTGGTAAGAAATGCTTTTTCCATGTTTGCGGTAGAGGTTTCTGAACTTCTTCCTGGAGAAGCACAAGCGACGTGCGTGTGATGCTGACCAGTGGGAGTTCATCAATGGATGGTACATCCTGGTCACTCTCAGCGACCTCATGACAATCATCGGATCCATATTAAAGATGGAGATCAAAGCCAAGGTAAGTGACATGCCATCTAGAATCTTATATTATCTTGGCATTGTGAGATACAGAATCCCTCTAGAGACTAGTGTGAGTCTCATGTTTTTGTTTGTTTGTTTTATGTGTTTTTTTTTGTCTGTTTGTTTTGGGGGGAATCTTTTGTTTGTTTTTTTGAGACAGGGTTTCTCTGTAGCTTTGGAGCCTGTCATGAAACTTGCTCTATAGACCAGGCTGACCTTGAACTCACAGATCCACCTGTCTCTGCCTCTCGAATGCTGGGATTAGAGGTGTGCACCACCACCACTCTGCAACCCTCCTGTTTTTTATGTCACCTATGACATAAGGCTGCCTCTCACTCTTCCTTAGAAGGAGAGTGCACCGTGGAAGGTGACCTCTATGGCCTTCCTCCAGGCATGTATAATCTTGTCTTTAGAACAGGAATTGAAGTTTGGGAAGATTGAGGGCTTCCTTTGTATTGGTTATTTATTAGTTTATCTGTCTATTTACTTGTGTCACTTGCAAAGGAAGTAACTGGCACACAGACCAGTTACCTCTCCTGAACATATCTGAAGAGCCAGTGGCAAGTGTGTGTGTATGTGTGCACGTGTGTGTGTGTGTGTGTGTGTGTGTGAGAGAGAGAGAGAGAGAGAGAGAGAGAGAGAGAGAGAGAGAGAGAAGTGGGATTCCCCTCTGTATGCTATGACAATGTTTTATTACCATTGATTAATAAAGGAGTTGCTTTGGCCTATGGCAGGACAGAACACAGTTAGGTGGTGTATCCAAACAGAGACAGAGGTAGAAAGAAGGTGGAGTGAAAGATACCATGTCGCTACCAAAGAAGAAAGACACCAAAACCTTACCAGTAAACCACAGCCTTGTGGTGATACGCAAATTAATAAAAATGGGTTAATTTAAGATATAAGAGCTAGCTAGAAATATGCCTGGGCATCAGTAAAACAGTGTTTTAGTTAATATAGTTTTTGTGTGATTATTTGGGTCTGGGTGGCCAAGAAATGAACATGTAGTCTCAGCTTACAAATGGTACCCAGTGTGTGTGTGTGTGTGTGTGTGTGTGTGTGTGTGAGAGAGAGAGAGAGAGAGAGAGAGAGAGAGAGAGAGAGAGAGAGAGAGATGCTGCGTTCCCAATAGCCCAGGGAGGGAGGAGGAGTACTTGGGTGTCACGAAGTCTAACTGGTTCTTTCTGTTAGTTCATTGTCTGTTCTCATAGTTGGATTCTGCTTCCTTTGGTCAATTGTTCTCTCCTCTGTTCTTTGTCAGTCTTACAAAGCTGTCCTCCTCATGGCTACCGCACTTCCTGTCTTTATTCCAGCTACCTCGGCTTCTCTCAGGCTGACTTCCTCTCTGGGCTGGACTACCTTAGCCACCTTCTTGCTGGTGTTTCTGTCTTTAGCCTTATATCCCACAGATCCGTCTGTACAGTGGCTGGGAAAACTTCCTAGAAATACCCACCTTGCTGTGACAATCCCTTCTGCCCCCCCAAAATCTACTTAGGATGAAGGGATCTCCCATCGTCATGGCCTCCAAGGTCCCCCTCTCTGGGCTCTGGTTCCCATCCTAGCTCTACCACTGCCTTTCCGTATACCAGATCTCAGCTTTGGGGATGTTCAGCATCTGTCCCTGAGTCTGTAGATATCTCTCCAGTTTGTGTTGTGAGGCTAGTCCATTGAGTGGCCTCTGTGAAAAATAGCCAGTGTGTCTCCTGTTGAATTTAGCATACTATTGTTGGAATTGTGTTAGCTGTCTGTCATGTTAATGCAGCCTAGAACCTCTTGAAAGTAGGAACTATGTCAGTTAACCACACTGGAGTATACTGGGCTGTGTTGTTTGATATTTGGCGAACACCATGCTCTTTCATGCCTAGGTCAGAGTGGTAAATGCAAGTTCTGTTTCAAAATGTTATTTGGAAAATAAATCAGTTCACAAAGTACTAAAAGAAATAAAAACCGAACATTTGAAGCTTTCCTCTGCTTCTTTCCCCCTCCTCTTAATCCTTCCCCTCCCCTTCTTTTCTTCTTCTTCATCATCATCATCTTCATTGTTTTTGTTTGGAGACAAGGTCTCACTCTGTAGTTCTGGGGGCCTAGAACTTACCACGCAGTTCAAGCTAGCCTTGGGAACTCACGATTGTGCAGCCTCAGTCTTCCCAGGGCTGGGGTGACAGATGTGCGTAGGAGGCAGTCAGTTCACCCATTAAAGGGAGGTAAACAAGCAAGGAAACTGGGCCATTTCACTCACCTGTGTTTTCCTTTCCTTCCCTAGAACCTCACAAATTATGATCTGTGCAGTATTTTGCTCGGGACGTCAACGCTCTTGGTCTGGGTTGGTGTCATCAGATACCTGGGCTATTTTCAGACATACAATGTAAGCTTCCAGAAGTGCCACCGTGCTTGACACTCCTTCCTCCTCCTCTGGGTCCTACCTGCTCACTTCCATCCTCAACCCATCTGCTTCTGCCATTGTTTTTCAGGTGCTCATTCTAACCATGCAGGCCTCACTGCCCAAAGTCCTTCGTTTCTGCGCTTGTGCTGGTATGATCTACCTGGGCTACACGTTCTGCGGCTGGATTGTCTTGGGACCGTACCACGAGAAGGTGAGCAGCGCTAATTCTTTCTGGATCGAGGGCATTTGGGGCCCTTCACCTTGCGCCTCCAGCCCTCACCCCCTCCACTCTTCTCCAGCAAGCACCCTGACGTCAATACCTGGAGAACTTTTGCTTTTCTGTTTCTCTGCTGTCTCCTTTTCAGGATATTGAGGCACCTTTAGGATTTTGAAACAAGAGCTACAGGAGATGGGAAAATACACCTCTCATGGTAGCCTGAGCCTGGCGGAGGACCTGACACATTCGACCAGTTGTTCAGCACTGGAAAGTGTTTGCACATGAGATCACTGTTAGCAAAACGTAAGAAAAGTAAGATTATGACAAAATCGCTCTAGTGTGAAGTATAAGTGTTATGTCCATATTGACGGAACAGAGAGGAGTAATGGCTCTACCACGGGCGAGCACTTCCTTTCTCTTGAAATGGGCTCACATTTGTGAGGGTGGTTTTGATCAAACTTCAGGTTTTCGTCTTATTGAAGATCAGAATCAGAGTCTCTGTTATTTCCCTTCAGGTAGCATCGTAAGTCCAGGGTAGTCAGGCTCATGGTCGGGCTCACATTTGGACCTATGGTCAGGCTTATAATCAGGCTTACAGTCAGTCAGGCTCACGGTCAGGATCATGGTCAGGCCTATGGTCAGGCTTACTGTCAGACATGGTACAATCCCAAATGCTTTGAGAAAGGAGGAGGCTGTGAGTTCAAAACCAGCTTGGACCACATAGCGAATTCGGGGCTAACCTTAAAAGCGGGAGACTCTGTCTTGAAATGGTGTGATGATTGATAGAACGTCATGAGGAGGAACCAGCGAGGCTGTGTTCAAGCCAAACGATAAAAAGAGTCAGTGCATCTTACAGCGTTTCTTCCCCAGCCTCCTGGCTGCTGAGACAACAGAAAAGATGACAGCTACCCCCTGTTGTCCACGGGGTGGGTGTTGTATGCCCAGGGTCTCTCTCACGTCACATACAGTCCCTTCATGTGCACCACTCTCCTCTGTATCGGCGTAAATAAATGCAATGCAGATACTAAAGAATATTTACACTTTAATGATAAACTCCCGCATGGCACAGGAGGTAGGAAGGAAAGGGCCAGAGCCGCCTCCTGCACGCCCATTTATCTGTAGGCATTCGCCCGAGGCAAACCCCGCCCCCTAAAGGGGCTGTCTTAACCCTACACTCCTCAGGCACCCAGCAAGGACCAATGAGGCAGGAAGCACAAAGGATTCCCTCCAAAGTCATCTAAATAGCTCAACCCTAAGTTCTGACCTTGACAGTCAAGCTCTGTGGTTGGTTCGCTGTTCACAGGCTGAGTGATACACACAGCTCAAGCCCTCCTCCACATCAATCAAACCCCAGTTTGGAACCCAGGGTTCCCTCTCTATCATATTTAATGTGTCCAAAAAGAGTCTCGATTTTTCTTACAAGACAAAGCAGTCTGATGAACAAAGTGACAACCTGCAGCTTAACTGCGGATCTTGATGATCCTATTGATTTTTCTGTTTGGTGTCACTTCTTTGAAGGTGATTCGTTGGTAAAACTTGTTCTTTGATACATAACTCTGACATGGAGAGCCCGCCATCTGATCAAGGCCAGAGAATATCTCATGCTTGCCTCCTGCTCCTGGAGCGTCTCCACCTCTCCGTCACTAGAGGGCACTGTTGCACCGTGTGGAATAAATACTGAGCCTAACCTGGGTTTCATCAATCCATTGGCCCCAAGACAGTTGGACAAGTGGTCCTCTGTTCTTTGTCATGCGTTCCGTGCTGCTCTTCCATCCCTCACCACTATTCTGGAAGGTTCTCAGTTAATACTGTCTGAAGTTTACTGAAAGCTGCATTTTTTTTTCTTTTTGTTAGGCCCTCTAAGTTCTTTATCTCCCTTGCTCTCCTGGTAGCCTTCTGCCTCTGTGATAAAATGCCCAACAAAATAAACTTTTAAGGAAAAAGGGGTTTATTTTATCTCATAGTCCAGGGTCACTTGGTCCTGGTGCCCTAAAGCCTGGGACCAGGCAGCGCATCGTGGCAGGGCATGATAGAGGAGGCAGCCTGTTTGCAACATGGTACCCAGAAAGGGAAGAGGAAACAGGAAGGGCTGGGTTTCCAGTCTGCCCTTCAAGGCATGTCCCCAATGGGTGCTACCTCTTAAGGGTACCCAATGGTACCACAGTCTGGAGATCAAACCTTTATCACAGGGGCCTTTGGGGGGACATTTTGAGGTCCACGTTACAGTACATCATCTCGTCATCTTCTCTCCCTGTGAGATGACAGCATTCCTTATGGAGAATAGAAACCTTAATATACCGAACCATTTTCAGACAGCAAATGTAGCATCAACTCTGGCCTTCTCAGTCTCAGTAATCCTGTTAGGACCAATAATAACCTACGGTGCTTTTCTTGGTATTGTCTGATGCGTACCATTGTAAAAGGACATCCAGTTTGACCTGAGAGGCAGGTGGTACTTGGGGACCCTTCCTCAGCTGTGTTCCTTTGGTGTGTGTCCAGATCACCTGCTGAAGACCTGGTCACTTGCTGGTGAGCCTAAGTGCATCCATATGTTCATCTTTGTCATCCAAAGGATGGGGGTGGAGCTGGGGTGTTCTGGGCCAGCACTGGCCAAAGACTACAAAGCATGAGCCACAAATGCAGCTGTTGTGCACACTTCAAAATATTCTAAAATCCTCATGAAAAATCAAGAAGAGCAGGACAGAGCTGATTTTAACTGTGTGTCTTGTTAAGCTTAGCACAGCCCAAATCCTCGTTTTGGTCCATAAGCAAAGACACCTCGGGGCTTCAAGCTTTTGCCTTTTGTCCTCCTTGAAGTCTGATTTTGGAGCCTCCTACATGTCTCATCTTAGCTATTGTTTCTTTATTTTTGGAGATAGATTCTCATGTAGGCCAGGCTAGCCTCAAACTTGCCATATAGCAGGGGCTGACCTTAAACATCTTCCTTTCTCTACCTCCTGAGGCCTTGGCTTAGAGGCACGCATCACTATGCTCTGTTTATGCAGGTCTATGGTTCAAATCCGTGGATGCCGATATTGGCAAGCCCTCTCTCTGTCAAGGGTGCGACACCCCCAAACACCTCAGTTCGACGTGCTAAACAGCCACATGTGGTGGGCGACTACAGTTTGGGTGTGCTTTTCACTTGTGCCAGTTCCGTTTGTCTCCCTCACAGAGTGAAACGAAGCCATCTCTAGCAGCGCTGACTGGTCAGTGATGCCCCTCACTCCCACCTCCAGCCAGGCTGATGGACGGGGAGAGTGAGGGGCTGGGTTTGCACAGGTCAGTGGGTGAACAAACGGAAGCCTGATTCTGGAATTTGGTGTTTTCCTGCCTCATTTTGCTGCCACTTTAAATTTGAAGTTGGAAAATTTTACTGCCCCCAGCAGCACTGCCCCCTCAACTGATCTGCTAGAATGTCCAGGTTATACCATGAGTCCTTGAGTCAGAGGCCCTTCAGGGCTACCCGAACCCTAGAACAGCCGAGCATCATGGTAGTTTCATTAGTAGTTTGAGAAGCCCAGCAACCTGGAGTGTGAAAGCCATTCATCACTTAAAAGAGACAAGAAAGAAGTTCTAAAGGGAAGGTGTCATGAAAGTCCTCCTTGGTGCAATTGACTGGGAATCAAAGCTCCAGATTTCCGAGCTTCCTGTCTTCCCGCTACACATCTGATGGCAGTGATTCAGCTCAGGAACAAGAAGTGTCAGATCGATGTCCGTCTCCAGCACTAATGGACTTTGGCACCACGCTCCCTGAAGACGTCTGGGCACAGAGACTTAAAGAGCGCCGATGATCTTCCAAACCTCATCTTGAATTATTAAGGACTTCTCTAATGTGGATTTTACATTTCCCGTCTCCAGGGAACATTATTTTTCTTAAACTATGATGCATAAATCATTGTTTTGCATTGTCCCCATTTTACAAATAAGAAGCACAAGGCATTGAAAAACCATTGCACTCTGCTGAGGCCACGGACAAAATCCTGAAAATTCCAAGGCTTTTGGCCTTGCCCAGATATTTGCTTATTCAAAATAATCACAAGTGAGCTGAAACATTCTATCTAACTATTACAGGAGATTCTTGCTGCTGAGACAAAATAGCTAACAAAAGAAACAAAAGGAGGGGTTTGCTTTGGCTTCCAATCTGAGGGCACATCTCATCACGGTAGGGAGGTCGTGGTGGTGGTGGCACATGTCACCATGGTAAGGAAGAAGTCGTGGTGGCTGGTCATGTTGCGTTTGCAGTCAGGAAGCAGGGAGAGATGAACACTGGTGCTCAGCTCACTGTCTCCTTTTATTAAGTCCTGGGAATATATAATATGAATTATTATATTGATTATAATTATTATAAACTATTATAATATATATTGCCTCCTGTATATAGGACGGATCTTCCCACCTAAGTTTAACTAGTCTGGAAACTCCTCAGAGACCTGCGGGAGATGCGTCTCCCAGGGGACTCTGGATCCCATCAAGTCCAGGATCAATATTCACCATCGTATGATTCTGGCCCTGACCTTTCCTGCAGACACCCTTTCTCCAGAGTCTTTCTTTCTGGCTGGGACTCGCTGCTTCACTTGGACTCCTAGTGCCACTTTTGATTGGCACCTGCCCTTGTTCTGCCCCTCTCCTAGGAGCTCTCCCACATCATGCCTTTAGTTTTGAAAGATGTGTGCACCAAATCACATCACTCCAATGTCTCGGATGGCCTTCCCTCGAGTCTGCTTGTGAGATAGCTTGAGTCTGATGTATGCCTGTCTCACCGAGACCCTGTGCGGCTCAGCACCTGTGTCTCTGCTCAGCCATTGCTATGTCTCAGCACCACAGTTCCACATAGACACTGGACACAACCCCTTCGTCCTCTCGCTGAGAACTAGTTCAGAGCACCACTGACCTTGTAGTCTATCTCAGCTGTGGTATGTCCACTCTGGGGGGTGAAAGTTCCTAGAAGAGTGTTTCTTATGTGGTTGGGAAGGCTATGGTATGGCCACTTAGGAAAACCTTTGGATCTCGTGTTGTCTTCACTACTTCCATGTGTAGCTGCTGTAAGATACGCACCACAGCTCTACTGACGACTAAACAGAAGAAAACAAGCCAGCTGCAGCTCCCTGCGTCCTGCCCTGCCATGCGGAGACTCAGGAGTTCCTTTGTGTTTGCCCCTGCAGTTCGAAAACTTGAACATAGTGTCCGAATGCCTGTTTTCTCTGGTCAATGGAGACGACATGTTTGCTACCTTCGCTCAGATCCAGCAGAAGAGCACCCTGGTGTGGCTGTTCAGTCGCCTTTACCTGTACTCCTTCATCAGCCTCTTCATTTACCTGGTCCTCAGCCTTTTCATCGCGCTCATCACCGATTCGTACCACACCATCAAGGTAAGCCACGGCCAGCGTTTGCTGCCAGAATCACCGCAAACGTTGTATGGGTTGGGTCATGAGATAGGCTGTAATCTTATTGAAACACAATTTTATTCAAGTTTTTCAAAGTTATAAAATAGATATTTTTGATGACTAACTATAAATATGCACTTGTCTTAGGGTTTCTATTGCTGTGATGAAATCCCATGACCAAAAGTAACTTGGGGAAGAAATGGTTTATTTTATTTGACTTACACTTTAATATCTTATTCCATCATTGAAGGAAGTCAGGACAGGAGCCTGAACACAGGAGCTGATGCAGAGTCCAGGGGCTGGGGGATGCTGCTTACTGGCTTGCTCATCATGGCTTATTCAGTCAACTTTCATCTAGAATCCGGGACTACAAGCCCAGGGATGGCGCCACCAGCAATGGCTCGGCCCTCCTTCATCAATCATTCATTAAGAAAATGCCCTACAACCGAATCTTATAGAGGCATTTTCTCAATTGAGATCCCCTCTTTTCAGATGACTTGAGTTTGTGTCAGGTTGGCATAAAGCTGGCCAGCACAGTACATGAAACATTTTACTTGTTACCCTGAACAAGGTGATTTGGTTTAGAGGCATGCTGGGAAAAAAGAGAGAGGAAGAAAAACTGAGTGTGATTAACTTGACCCTAGCGGATGCCCCTGCCTGCATGGCTACCTGGAACTCAGGTTTCAGGGTAACTTCCAGGGATGGTAGGTGATTGTCACCCTGACAACTGGGTGGATAGTGACATACCTCACACCCATGGATAAGAACACTTGTAGTGCACCCTTCATTAAGGTAAAGAAAGGGAAGGTTCCAGTTTTCCCGAGCCCTGGTGCGTCCCACATCCTTTCAGATGGGGCCTGGGTGGTTGGGTTAGAGCTTCAAGGAAGATCACTGTCTTGGGAACTGGAATCTCCGCAGCAGATGGTTGTGCTGGGAAAGCTACTTAAGAACCAATGCCTCAGCCATGCAAGGTGCTGCCCTCTGCTCAGCCCTTCCCATACTAACTCAGAAGGAAGCTGGTCAGTGATCCTCATGTGGGATTAGAGTCACAGTGTACGTGGTACTTGGCCCCTGTGGCAGGGTGTGTTGGGACAGAGTTGCAGGCTCTTGCCATGAAAATTCAGATCTTTGGTATGGTAGTGTCTTTGTGTGGGGGTAAGTATCAGTGTTGAGCTGGATGACCTTACTGTTGAGAAAAATCTACCCCCATCCCATTTTGTGGCCAACTTCATGCACGCAGAGAAGGCAGGTTATGACCCTGTCTGATTCTAGGTGGGCAGGGTGGAGAGTGAAATCTATCTGCTGGTCTCACTACTAACACGCTAACTTTCTAGTTTTGACTATTTCTTGAGTTCCTCTTTTCAACACACATCTTCTCCCTTTTCCCCTGGCTGGTTTTCTGGAGCTTTCCTTCCCATTGTTCTCAGTTCCCAGGGCCTCTCTGGCTCAGATGTTCTAGAACTGACAGACTGAGTCATCGTGGCTCATAATCCTTCTTGGATCCGAACTCGCACTGGGGGAGTTTCATTTCTCAGAGGTTGGTTGTGCTGTTGACAAGGGGAACAATTTCTCACACTCTAGAAAGCAGGTAACAGCATTGTGTGCTTTTCAAAAGAAATACCAGCAAAATGGGTTTCCTGAAACGGATCTGCAGAAATTCCTGAAGGAACACAGTGGCAAAGATGGGTACCAGAAAGAACCACCGGCCTTGCTCTCCTGTGTCTGCTGTCTGAGGAGGTCAGTATTGAGTCTATAGCTGGGAGAAAGCCATCCCAAAGTTAACGCTGCACTCTGAGGTCAGCGTGTGGTGGGAAATAGTTGGTGTTTGTTTTCTTTCCTCCCCTGTACAAATCTGTTTGAGAAATAAATTGTTTCTTGTAAAACAATGTTCTACACAATAAGCTTTTTTGTAGAAAGCTCCAGGACTTGATTAAAATTCTTAGGAACCTTATGAGAGCCTCACGAGGAGATAAACTGTGGCATGAGTCAAGAGGCCGGACTCTTAAGGGACCAAAGGAAGAGGACTTTTATTTTGGAGGTGAACTTCCAGGCATGTTAGATGCATTCTCCCCCTTCTCAGGATGTGGAACCCATCATTGGTTCCTTAGACAGATGGGGACCTGCTGGGAAGGAAACTTCTGGTGTCTCTCCTAGTTACTATTTACTAGTTTCTACTGCTGCAACAAAACATCATAGCCAAGGCAACCTAGAGAAAAAAAGAGTTTTCTGGGGTGTGCAGGGTCAGAGGTTGAAGCTGTGGCCATCGTGGTGGGGAGCCTGGTGGTAGGCACTGGAGCAGCACATGAGAACTTACATCCTGATTCGCAAACACAAGGCAGAAAGAGCGGACTGGGAATGGCATGGGTTTCTGGAGCCTCAAAACCCACTCCAGGTGAAACATCTCTACAAGGCCACACCCCCTAGTCCTTTCCAAATAGCTCCACCAACTGGGGATTACGTGTTCAGATGTATGAGCCTATGGGGACCATGCTCTTTCAAATCATCACAGCGCTCTTGGTTAAAACCCTGCATCAGTTGCTCTTCCATGCTCAGCTGGGCTTTGCTGGCTGTTTGGACTTTGCAAGAAATATTGTAGGAAAGTTGCTTGTTGGCTCCTGGCTGCCCGGCTAGCTTAGACCCAAAATAACCACACATAAACTATTTTAATTAAAACATTGCTTAGCCCATTAGCTCTAGCTTCTTGTTGGCTAACTTTTACATCTTAATTTAACCCATTTCCATTAATCTGTGCATCACGATGAGGTCGTGACCTACCAGCAAAGTTTTAGCACGTCTATCTCTGGCGGTGGCTCCATGTTGTCCCCCTGACTCTGCCCTCTTTCTCCCAGCATACAACCTAGCTTTTCCTGCCTAGTTTTCTTCTGCCCTTGCCATAGGCTCAAAGCAGTTCTTTACTCATTAACCAATAAAAGCAACACACAGACAGAAGGACCGCCCACACCAAAGAATGGTGACCAGAGTGTGCCACCCAGTTGTGTGGGAACCAGAATGGAGGTCAGATGGTTTTCTTAAGGGCATACATCTGTGTTTCACCTGGGTTGGGAATAGACATTTTTAAGGTATGCCTTACCCATGTTTTTGAGGAGAATTTTATAATCCAAATTCCTAAAGGAAGAGGGGAAACCATGACAGATTAAGCCCTTAAACATGGTGTGTGTGTTTGTGAATGAATTCACTCTACATCTTGAGGCTTGCAATGGGGTAACGGACCATGTCCAAGGCTTGCAATGGGGTAACGGACCACATCCAAAGATGTCTGGTAACATAGGATGAGATCTTCTGAGATATTTGCTAAATTGATTTCATCTTCTCGGAGCATCAGATTGCTGCCATAGACTCCAGGATAAAGGAGAATTAATTTTCTTAGTTGGCAGCTGCCTCCTAAGAAATGAGAAGGAGAAGGCAGGTCCCTGGATCTGTTTTCCTATTGTGCAGCTATTGCAGTAGTGACTTTCCTTGTTGCTATAGCAAAATGCCTGATGAGAAACACCTGAAGGAAAGAAGGGTTTGCTTCAGCTCAGGGCTTGAACAAATAAAGCTTGGCAACCAGAGCACGTGGCAGCTGGCCACGTTGCACACACAGCTGAGAGGCAGAAAGAGATGAACCCTGGTGCTCCCTTGACCTCTTTCTCCCATTTTCGTTCACCCCAAGGCCCCAGCCCATGGAATAGGGCTACACACATTCAGGGTGGTCTTCCCTTCTCAGCAAAACATCGGTAGAAATACCCCTGAAACACAGATTAATACATCCCACACCCTCCTGAACCACTTGAAATCTGCAGTTTTGTCAGTGTGAGCCTAGCAGCCCCAGAGTCCTCTTCCTGGGCCTTGCGTGCTGTGGCTCTTTGGAGAGAAAGACTTGGTTGAGCAGACATGAGCTGTCGAATGTTCTCCACCATGAAGGAGAGCCTGGCCTTCATAGGCACCGATAAGGCTCTGTGAAACCACAGTCCTGAGAGATGGTGGCTGCTCACAGGTTGTTTCCAGAAGTGTCTCTCCAAGCCCCAGAGTGCGAACATTTCCCTTCTTCAGTTTTCTTCCTGTTTCACAGTTTGCACATGTAAGCTGTGTGTCTAGAATATAGAGTGTCCCAGTATTTTTGTCAAGATTTTGGAAAGTCTTGAGTGGGGATATAGCTCGACGGTAGAACACTTGCCTAGACGGGGTAAGACCGTCAGTTTGATCCCCACCACTACTATATAAATAATAAAGTTTCAAAAATGTGAATGTCAGGCATGGCAATGCATGTGTTCTGGAAGGGGGCAGAAGGATCAAAAATTCAAGGTCATTCTCAGCTACAGTGTTTGAGGCCAGCTTGAGCTACATGAGACCCTGTCTAGAATAGCAGCAGCAGCAACAAAACAAAGCTACCCAAACAAAAATTCTTAAGTTATTGCTCTCCTTATTTTTCATCTCCTTTTCTGTTACAGGAGAGGAAGTGATGACCACTTGATTCTCATTGACTAAAACCCTTCTAATGCCAATCAAGTCCAAACCTCTTTCTCCTGTGGAGGTGCAGAGAGACCCCAGAGGGAGCAGAAGTTCACTAAAAGATTGTCTTACTGAATTGTGGATCCAGAAGGAGGAGTGTCTGCCAGCTTCTGACCAGAAGTGACATTCCAAAGTTACCTTTTACAAACATGGAGGGCAGAGGATAGGCCCTTCCTGGGAGTTAATTGAAGTGTGATAATGGAATTCATCAATAGTCTGCTCGTTTGTGACATCATAAAGTTGGGCTGAAAATATTAGCATTTCAGAGTGTGTAAGCAATATTAAAACTAGGTAAAAGTATATGCTTGTTGCCAGAAAAGGGTTTGTTTTAAAAATGTAACCCTTGGATTTGAAGACATTTGTTAATTCATGGTCAGCACAGAAATATATTTGGTTTCTATCCCAAATTAAGGCTTGAAGCTGAGGACTGGCAAGTCGTGAAAAGTCTCGCACTCAGGCACTAACCGAAAGATGGCTATTTGTATTATGAACTTGATTCTGCAGCATGCCACGCTGGGTCTTTCAGCCCAGTCGGCAGGACGGAGCAGACCATATGGGTATCTCCTCAGCTGAGCTTTCCCTGGCCTGCACACACAGCTGAGTGGTGCTAAACCTGAAGTGGCCCCTGGTTTCATGAGTCATCCCCACTGTGGTGGGAATTTACCTATGTCAAGCAAGGAAATATGATGTGTGTTTCCTCAAATAAATTTATTTTCCCAATGCTGTATTGCATAATTACTGTGTGTTAAAACGCAATGTCTCTCAACAGCTACCAAGTGTGAGTTTCGTATCACACTCCTTTTAACTACCTTGTCTCCATGAGAGATCTCTCGTTTTTGAAGAGCTATGCGGCTTGGTCCACAGAAGCTGCTCAATAAAGATCTGGGCTAATTGCAAGAGGTTAAGATCACCTCAAACACAGGTTTATGGCATAGCTGAGGTATCTCAGGGACTATGAGTTCTGGTGTGGAGTGAGATTTGAACCAGCTTCTCAGAGCTGCTCCTGCTCTGGCATTGTCTGTACCCCAAGACCCTGTTGTCTGGTTCACCTTCTGCTCCTTACCCCTGATCTTTCTCCATTGGCTTACATCAAATCTGGGCAAAGAAAATCATACAGTCAATAACATTAAAATTTGTAAGAAAGTAAATGATTCGTTCCAGGGCTGTCATTGCTGTTCTTGGGGGACAACCCGAGTTCAGTTCCCAGCACCCACATGGTGGCTCATAGCCTCCATAATTCCGCTTCCATGGGGTTCCATGCCTGCTTCTCATGCCTGCAGAATGGGGCAGATGCACAATGCAAGCAAAACACTTGCACTCCTAATACAAACAAATCTTTAAAATTTTTCAAAGAAAAAGACTAATGTCTACATATGGACTGCTTAGTTAAAATGTCATTTTAATTTATTTTTCCTTTTACAGAAAATGCCAAGATCATAGGGTTTGGTTTTGAAACTGATGACCATCAGACTGAGGTTCTAGAATTCATTGCCTGGTTCCAGATCAGGTGTCTGATTAAACCGTTGCTAGTTGGTTCTGAACAGACTAGATTTCCAGGCTGCAGCTGTGACTGTCGTTTGAACAGAAAATTAATGATGGTCTTGCCCATTTTTAGCTATTTTTTAAATTGGCTTTCATGTTTCCTTTCATTTCTTTTTGTTCCAGTTGACTCAAATACTTTCAGAAAGAAAAAAAAAATTTTTTCAAGGTTACCATGGAAACATTGTTTTTTCTCTTAATCATTTTAAACAATTGCCTTGTTATCTTTCGGATGTCATTGAACAATGTGGTATGGTAACTGCTAATAGGAAAATCTGGGACAAACCATTTCTTCTCTTAGACCTCCACGTGGGGACTTGGCTGCGACAGGAGATATATTCTTTCTTCCTTTTAATTGCATTCTCAATTCTCTACCCATTGTAGAAATTGCTTCCTTGGCGAACAGTGACACCCAAAGCTGCATGCAGAATCTTAAGCTGCTAACTTGGAATGACAGAAACAAGCTTGGCATGGGACCCCTTGAGTCACAGTTCCATGCAACCTGCTGCTTTGGGGTTCTGGACAAGCCACTTTCTGCCTTGAGAGGATGGGGACAAATCTCAGTGACTGAGACTGGCCTTTGGGTCTCATAGTGCCTGCAAATCCAGCACTAGTGTGGACCCTGAGCCTCTTTCTGTTCTAGCCTCTGCTCTATTTAGAAGTAGATTCTACTCATTCATGCAATGGTGCAGACAAAGCATTCGCTTCTGTAAACTAGTTTGTCAGAGATCTTCTCCTGAGTTTCTTTGGACAGGGCAAAATGCGTCTCCATTTCCGCAGGTGTAAAAATGGAGATTGTGAAAGAGTCAAGTTAAAGTTCAAAAAAAGGGGACATGTCTTTTGGTTGCTATAGTAGCAAGTCATTGAAATGCTCATCTTGCTTGGCCTACAAATGTGTGTATCTATTCATGGCCAGCCAGGAAGACCTTCATTCTCTATGTGGTTGCTGTATACCCTTGGTGGACTTTGTTTTGGGTAGGACTTTAGGGACACAAAAATCCAACTCTAGGTCTGTCCTGGAGAGAATGGTTGCTTCAACTCTAGAAGCTCACAAGTGGTTGTGGGGTGGTCAGGATGAAGCAGCCTAAATGTCCTGTCGCTGGGTACCCAGCTGTCCAGATGTCCAGGCAGATGTGCAGGAGGTGAGGGGCTCCTACCCATGCAGATGTACAGGAGGTGAAGGGCTCCTACCCATGCAGATGTGCAGGAGGTGAAGGGCTCCTACGCATGCAGATGTACATGAGGTGAGGGGCCCCTATCCATGCAGATGTGCAGGAGGTGAGAGGCTCCTACCCATGCAGATATGCAGGCGGTGAGGGGCTCCTACCCATGCAGATATGCAGGAGGTGAGGGGCTCCTACCCATGCAGATGTGCAGGAGTTGAGGGGCTCCTACCCATGCAGATGTGCAGGAGTCGAGGCATCCTTACCCATGCAGATGTGCAGGAGTCCAGGCATCTTTACCCATGCAGATGTGCAGGAGGTGAGGGGTACCTATCTGAAGCTCTCTGTTGCTATTTTCACTGTGTGACAAATAGAAAGTAGTGGAATGGTTTGTTCTGACTCACAATCGAAGGCAAGCCAGCCCACCATGGAAGAGACGACAAGGCATGCCCGAGGGAACCACTCCTGGCTATAGCGGCAGGAGCATGAGGCTGCTTGTTCACATTTAGCTCCATGACGAAGCAGAGAAGGGAGAAATGCTTCCTCTCTCCCTGTTCCAACATCAGTCCAGAACGATGGTGCTGCTCACATTCAGGGTGGGCCTTGCCCTCTGCTCATCCTTTCAGCAAATGCTCTCTCAGTCACACCAGAAGGTGCGAGTCACTAATATTCTGGGCTAGAAACCATGAAAAGCCCTCTGCCACATTCTACTCAGAATCCTGCGAAGCCTTGACTCACTGGAAATCCAGACTTGGAGCCTTGAGCACATGAAGTCAATAGCACAGCTTCTTATCAAGGGCAAACAGCAATCCCAAATGCCTTCACCTAAAAATAGCCTGGCTCTGGCACTGAGGACCAGACGTCCAAAGTCATTATTAGCAAGGTATGTCCAGGAACTGCCTTATGGTGCTAGCCAGCGTCCTCTCCTGACACTACAGGGAGCTGTAGGTCCCTCACTCATGCAACCCTTTACTGCAGTGACATTGGACAAACAGACTTCACTGTTAATTGCTTCCACCCTCTTCACGTGACCTTGGCAAATTTAGTCAGGCTCTCTGCCTGATGTCAAGTTTGAACATTCCAGCTTCACGTTCTCTACCAAACATGCAGAGCCTCTCACGGTTCAGAGCATATGTGAACCCCTTATGGAAGAAGGTCATTGGCTAATAAAGAAACTCCCTTGGCCCATTTGATAGGCCAGCCTTTAGGTGGGTGGAGTAAACAGAACAGAATGCTGGGAAGAAGAGAAGTGAGGTAGACGCCATTTCCTCTCCTCTCTGGGGCAGATGCAAGGAAGCTCTGACCCAGGATGGACATAGGCTAGAATCTTCCTGGTAAGCGCACCTCGTTGTGCTACACACATTAATAGAAATGGGCCAAACAGTGTTTATATGAATACAGTTTGTGTGTTGTTATTTTGGGGCATACGGCCGGGAGCAGGGCTGTGGAAAGAGGCCCGCAGCTCCTTCAGCAAACCCCCTCTTACCTGACAGGGTGACGAGGACCTACTGACTATCCCAAGCACAGAATTCTCTGTACTGAAGGAAAGGTGCCCCATAGCCTGGGAACTGGGGAGATTTTCTGTGGCACTTGAGATTCCCAGGGTCTTGACACGGATGATGTCTGGGTCAGCTTGGTGATGGCATGACCTGTGCATCCTCAAAGGACCCTCCACTTGGTTTACTGTCGTCACCACTGAAATGCTTAGTGTACTTTGGACAAGGGGTCCCTTGTGTTCATCTGTTGGTGGGCTCTGCAAGGGTATAGCTATTCTTGATATGACTCAACCCAATGATTAAAGCATGCTTTAAAACTTAAATTTGGATTTAATTTTTAAAACATGTTTAGCTGTTTTGTTTTGTACATCTCTGTATATAAGTGCTCACAGAAGCTAATGTGGGATCCCTGGAGCTGGAGTTGCAACCATTTGTGGGGTTCCCACCAAAGGTGCTGGGAACCAAACTAGGGTCCCCTGCAAGAACAGTACAGGCTCCTAACTGCTGAGTTCTCCCTCCAGCCCTTAGAGCATGCTTTAAACAATTACTTTCCCCCTTTTCTTAGAAGCATGCTTTTAAGAAAGGATTAGAAGCCGGGTGGTGGTGGTACACGCCTTTAATCCCAGCACTTGGGAGGCAGAGGCAGGTGGATCTCTGTGAATTTGAGGGCAGTGTGGTCTACAAGAGCTAGTTCCAGGACAGGCTCCAAAGATGCAGAGAAACCCTGTCAAAAAAGAAAGAAAGAAAGAAAGAAAGAAAGAAAGAAAGAACAAAAGAAAGCTAGGTCTGTATTTGTATTCATCACGGTTTTGTTTTTGAGGCAGGATCTTACTGTGTAATGTAGGCTGGCCTCGAACTGATTACATAATCCTGCATGAACTTGAACTCAAAGAAATCCCCCTGCCTCAGCTTCTTGAGTGCCAGGATGACAGGTATGTATCATGACAAGTGAACCTTTTAATTTAAATATATAGTCGAAATAAGTGAGCGGGGGTTGGAACTGTGTTTCTTAAACAATAGACTTCATTTTTTTGTTTTTGTTTTTTTGTTTTTTTTTTCGAGACAGGGTTTCTCTGTAGCTTTGGAGCCTGTCCTGGAACTAGCTCTGTAGACCAGGCTGGTCTCGAACTCACAGAGATCCGCCTGCCTCTGCCTCCTGAGTGCTGGGATTAAAGGCGTGCGCCACCACCGCCCGGCTAATAGACTTCATTTTTAAAGGAAGTTTTGAGTTCACAGCAAAACTGAAAGTGAAGAATGTTCTCATAGCCTCTCTGCTCCCACAGGTGCCCAGCCTCTCCATGCATCCAGGTCCCAGAATAGAATGGTACATTGGCTGTCAACCCCATCTGTGAAACCGCATGGGTGAGCGCATCATCACCCACAGTCTATTGTTGCATTGTACTTCACTCAAGGTGTATACTGTGTGGGTTCATGAGAATGTGTGATAGTACCCCTGCTGGACGTTCATGCAAGGTGGGTGAATGTGTGATAGCGCCCCCTGTTGGATGTTCATG